GCCTTGGGGGTCTTTGATAGTAATCATCATTGTGATGACTACTAAAGAAGTTATCACTTGGAGGTTGGGTATGATGCCCTTCCTCCTCATGAACACTTGAAGGTATTCTAACCCCCTTACCCTTTGAAGACTTAGGTTGGAAAAATCTAGGGTTTGACCCACTAGCTTCCCCTCCCACAACTAGCCTAGCAAGTAGTTGTTTTATTTCCTCATTATTTCTAGCATTTTCTTTTTCTCTTTTTCTAAGCTCTTCCTCTCTTTTTATATTTTCTTCTTCTTTTCTTCTTAAATACTCTTTCAATTCCCTAAGTTATTCCCTAACACTAGACCTAGTACTACAAGAGTTATGACCATGTACACTAGAATGATCACTCATCTTTGATCAAAAAGGTTTTAACAAATTGGTTTTTAAAAATGTTGGTAAAAGGTTTTCACAAAGAATGAGTGATAAAAAGGTTTTCACAAAAGGTTTTCAAAGGTGTAAGATTGGTATGAAAAGGCCTAAGTGTACAAAGTGAACTATCAAGGGAGGTGGACTACTAAGAATCACTTAAAAACCAAGCCTTTTCAAGTAGAAATCACTAAGTCTTTTCAAACTTTTCTCACAAAAACAATTTTCACAAGACTAAGGTGTATGTGTGCACAGACCCTTAGTAGGCAAATGTAGCCTTCTAATGCAACAAATAGGTAAAAATAAAGTCCTAAGCAATTATACTACTAAAGCTATAAAACATGCAAAGGAAAGCACTTAAAGCATATACTAGTTAGTTTTCCTAGATGAAGGTTTTCAAATCACCTTAAACTACACGAACTAACACAAAAAATGAAGAGGTTTAAAAATGGCCAATTACAAACCAAAAATAAAGAAACAAAGCCCAAATACAAGAGGCCAAAAATTAAGCAAAAAGAACAAGTAAGAAAGAAATTGTTGAATCTCCAAGTCTTCAAATCTCCACCCCTTCACAATGAGCACCCAAGGTTAGCCTTTAAAAGGTGTTTACACTCTTTAATTTGGTGTGATCCTCCAAAGCTCCTTGAACTCAAATCGGACAGCCCTTCCACTCAATCCACCAAGAGAAAGTGTGGTGTTTAGAAACTTTCCTCACCTAGGTCAAGAAGAAACCAAAACCCAAGAGTACAAGAGGCCAAAGAAGAAAAACTAAAAAGGCACAATTAAAAAGGCTAAACTCAAGTGGAATTTGATAAGACAAACTTAAGAGTAGAAAGAAGACACAAAACTAAAATTAAGGCACTTTTAAGAAAGGTAAGCACACAAGAGAATAATTCCTAGAATGACACTAGAATAGAATTTAGCAAGTAGGCTTAAAAGAAAAAATGATGCACTTAACATGTTTGATTTATTGTCTCATTCGGCCATTAAGCATTGTCCAATGGTCCAAAAATTTACTCCAAGTGCTAAGGTATGAAAATTGGTCCAAAACTCCACAAGTCTAGCAAAGGGTTCCCTTTTCTTGCTTTTGTTTCTTTGTTCTTTTTGGGCTTGTCCAAGTCTCGGTTTTAATGTCCCAAGTCCAGCCACTTTTTTCTTTTTTTTGAATTTTATACTATTCCTTTGCTTGAGTTTTACACTTGTGTTTGTTGGTTTTGTTAGCAACTTTTTAGAGTATTCTTTTAGTAACTGACAATAGCTCAATGTGACAAGATTTGAGTGTTTTCTTAAAGTTTTAGTGTGCAAAAGTACAGCAGCAAATTATGCACATCAAAGTCATATTTTCACACTCAAATAATCAAACAACATATAGGCATATAAGTGCACTAGGAAATACACAAGGCCGAAAATTTCAAGACAAAAATGTGCAAAGAATGTAATCACACATGATATTTTAGGAATGTAGAACATGCTAGAACTAATTAGCATGCATGATTGACTCTCTAAAGCACATATAAGTTCAAGACCAATTCATCAAACATATGGCATGCATGTCATATTTTTCTCATTTCAATGGTTAAGCATACAAACTTGGAATTTCTTTTCAAGGTAGTTCAAAGAGACCAGCTTATGACCAAACCGGATGGATTAAAAAAATAAAAACATTAATACATCATGCAGCCCAAAATTTCCAGCAACTCAAAAATTTAAAGAAAAAGGCAAGAACCTAAATAAGAAAGCCTAAAATGCCAAGATGATTCACAAGGAATATATGGTATGAATCAACACATGAGAGGAGATTTATGGATCATCAAAATATGACAATTATGATGATTCATTTAGGCACACTTAGAAGTCATGTAAGGAAGACCTGGCATGACCGAATATATTTGGAGATAAAGAGAATGTTACCCTTGAAGAACCAAGGCTCTAGATACCACTTGATGGCATCCTTACTTGCATGAACATGAGATGATGAGCAAGGAAGAGGATGCCTACTCCAAGGATCAATTTCTTCAAATGTGGCACAAGGTTTTAGGGTGGATGATGATAGAATGGGTGAATGGGAAGTAGGGTAGAAGGTGTTTGATGAAAGGCTTGAAAGGTGCACTCTAGGGTTGGCTCACTTCATTGATGATGAAGGCCACTTCTAGGGTTTCTCTCTCAAGGTGGAGATGGTAGGGTTTGGCCAAAAATAGCCAAGGGTGACTAAGGAAAGATATAAAGGCACAAAAGGCTCTCTTTATATTCAATATCCAAAGTATTTACAAGGTGTGGGGTGTTGGGTATTTATAGGAGGGGAGGCATCTAGGGTTGCATTTGGAGTAGGCAAATGCATTCCAAATGAAATGCAAATGAACAGGAGTGGTTGAGAATACTCGGGCAACCAGAAGTGGTTTAAGAATACTAGCGTCTGTGAGTGAAGCATACGAACTAGAAGTGGTTGAGAATACTTGGGACCAAGAGTGGTCGTGACCTGATTGATGGAGGACCATCCTTGGTGCTTCATGTGAAGACTCATCACATGGTTCATGGTTAGGAGAATGGAGGAAGATAAAAGAGATATCATGCATGGATCCATCTCCTAGGCCCAATTTGAGTAACATAGAATTTTATTGCTTTCTTCCAATTTTACCCTTGTACTTTGGGGTATTTTAGTCATAGAATTTATTTTATTTGTATTTCCAATTTTACCCTTGTATTATGGGGTGCTTTAGATAATAGGGTTTTAATGTTTGGGCTAGGATTTTAATTAGGAGGGTGACACATTTTTTGGTAGCTTTGGACTTATTTTTTGGACTTAGAAAGGCTTGGGCCCTAGTGAAGGGCAAAGGTTGCATGGTCTTATCATGCACCTGGACTAAATTGAAACAAAAAATTAAAATAAAACTAAATTGAAACAAACAAATATTATAAGGGACTAAATTAGGATTTTAACTAATAATTTAAAAAGGATATGTTCAGATTAGACAGCGATTGACACTTTGTTGGGTCCATCACCTCATTAAAAAAAAAAATATATATATATATATATATATATCTTAAATGTAAAATTTATAATATTTAACACACATATATAGAGAAAGAATTCACTATTTTACTTGCTCTAATTGTAAGAGATTTATTTTATTCAATAACACATGTTTTATATTAAATTTTAATGATCCAACTATTAAATTAAAAATTCTAATTAATATATAAATCAAGTTTACAAATTTTTAAAAAA